TGCTTTATCATTCTAAAATCATGCTAAAGGAATGCAAAGTATTATGGGAGTTATAGTTTTACAACATCTGGGGATCTACCCCTTGGACAGCCGTGATCTAGAACAACACCTTACGCTGAAGCAATTCTCGAGTAGACTTTTGTTGTGGCCTCCAATGATGGAGGGAACGGCTGCCATATGAGATCCATAAATTATACTGATAATCTTTCAACCACTCTTTTCTGCAAATATTGCTACAAATTGTAATATTTAAACAGCACATTTCTGTATCTTAAGGAATGAGCTGTATTTTAAAAATTGAAATCCTTACAACATACCATAATGTCTATCATTACCTTGGGAAATATGGGATTTTTTTTCCTGTCTATTCCTCAAGGCTATCTATGTATAGTTTTGATGTTTTAGAATGGAAATGTGTAAACAAGAAATGCACTTGAGTGTTTAGAATAGGAGAAATGAAAATGTAAGAGAGGCTACAAAACCAACAAGATGAAAAAAAAATAAAATAAATAAAACGCACAACGAGAATTTTCAATGCGGACACATGCAGTAACACACATAAAGTAAAGCAGATTATCCAAGATCGAACAGACCAGAGGGAATAAAATGTCACTGCTATCCAGGCATCAAGTTCTGAAACCCTGATAATTTTTTACACTGAAGAGTCTAATATAAAGCTGGAAAAATCATCTTTTTTTATCCGAGAATATTGTTTACCTAGAAGTCAAATCCGAACAAGTGGGAAAATAACTAAACAATGGACTTAAAAATTGCAAAAACAAATGAATTTGTGCACAAAGAAAATTTATTTGAAAAAGATATACAGATACAGGAAGATAAATACTAGATAAAAACTTGATAATAACAATGGTCATTAACAGAGATCACACTCACCAAATCCACTCAGCTAATGCCGAGATATCATCATCTACAGTCCATTGAAGTCTTCAACTTCTAAAAAGAATAATCAATTAATAGAACACTATAGTATAGAGAACACAAACATGTATTCCTAACACTATAGTGCTGGAGTTAAAATGTAGGTCCCTGCCGCCCCTCAGATTGGAGATAAAAGGTAGCATTTCTTACCTTTTCTCCATCACCACACTGGTCTCGTTGTGGCTGGCCTGGTCTTGATAGTCTCAGCCAACATAAAATGGTTTCACTATGGACAACAGTCAATGTCTCTAAACACAAATGCTGCACACAGTGCAGCACTGAAATAAGAAGCACCTCTAGTGGCCGTTTGAGTGACTGCCACTACAGGTGTTACTAGGCAGTAATGTAAACACTATATATATATATATATATATATATATATATATATATATACAAAATTAAACATTGCCATATACATTGCCGTATCTACAAAAAGACCATGTGTTACAGAAGGATAGCACTGCTGCACCCAGACCACTTCATTGAGATTGAGATAAAGGGGAGCGGGTGCCTTAAGTGGTCCTTTAAAAACTATTTTTTTTTAAAATAACATGCAATATAAGTTGAAATAAAATCCAATTGAGGTTATACCTGCAGCTTTGCTATTTTAGCCTATGTTTTACGATTTTTATTTTTATTTCACTACGGTTTGGTGAATAAACACTTTATGGTTTTAGCTGGCTTAAATGTTGATTCTCCTTCAAGCAACCCTATAATTGATTTGGCTTTGTTTAAAGTTTCACAGCAGCCTGTTTAAGTTGATATATATTGAAAAGATAACATTTGCACAGCAATTATCCTACTTTGTTTATCGAAAAGTGTTTAGCCACTAGAAGTAAAAGATAAATTGACTCACTTACGGTATGGCATCTATATTACACAGTCAGGAGCTTTCTGGCTATTTTCTTTATATGCTTCTAGTATAATTTAATAACTCCAAGTGTTGGTTTCTTTTATATGCCAGTTATGCATCACCTCCGGAATTATTAATACTCCTTCAACACTCATAAATTATATCTCTTAATAAACCTATAGTAACAAATGTAGTTTTGAGCTAAAATTAAGGATTCAAGTGACATGGTAAGGAGTAAATACAAACTAGCTTTACCTTTACAAAGCATCTTTGCCATAATACTTTATTGGTTTATGTAAATCAGGGGTGTTCAACCTATGGCCTGCAGCCAGTTGTGGCACATCGGATGCTTTAATGTGGTCCGCAAACACAACAAATACTGTATATATTAATGGTGTGGTATAGTAACTTTTCATTGAGAAGCGGAGTCTGTATAACTGTAAAAAAAAATCAGCTCCTCAATAATAGTGCATGAAAATCCTTTTAGTAACATGACTAAAAGTATCAAAGCAAAAATTAGGATTGAGCATCTTTGCTGATATTTAAAGCATGACTGGAAGAATGTTGAGGGTCCTAATTTGCATGTGTTTACCCATAACTCATTCTATATTAAAAAGTGACTAAAACTTTAGTGACTTGTTTAAATAACTAACATTTGAACCTTCAGTCAAAAGATAAGCTTGCATGTCCAGTTTAATTACGTCAAAGCTTTTCAAATGAAATTAGAACTCTTTAAGTGCCAATTTAAAGACTACAATTGAAGTCAATTCCAAAGCATGATGAAATTGTGGTATGCTCCTCAATATGTGGCAGCAATACATCAGCTCTAGACCAAGTTCCAAGAGAGATTCCGAAATATCTTCACTCAAAATTAGATCCTTGGTAGTAACTTACTGCTTCTCTGTGAATGCAATGATCACTCATGGGGACCTCCAGATGGAAATCACTGACTTTCAATGTGAGTCAGACTTGAAAATAAAATTTATTGTAGTGTAAATTTAAGAATTCCTGACTCGTGAATCTCTTCCTTCCATTGTATATCAGAATTGTCTATTGTGTGGCCCACAACGTGTACCAAATTTTCAAAGTGACACTCTATTTCCAACAGGTTGTACAAACAAATGCAACCTGTCTCCTCTTGTATTTGCCTATCCCTTTTGTCTTCCAGTACATTCTGATGACAGTAAATCATTTCTAAGCATTTTTATACTCTATTGTTTCTATCAGACAGCTTCACCGTAGAATATACCCACAAATCCACATATCCTCTTGACACATTCCTCCTGCCTTATTTATTTCCTTTCCTCCTCAGACACAGTTCTAACACTGACACTTACCTAGTCACTTTTGCTGAATTACCTCATCCTTCCCACATTCACTTCCTTACGCACAAACCACATTCCCTTTAGAAGTTTCCTTATTACCTGAAGTGGCTTTCTCAAGCTGTACTTTTGGACACTGTAGAGTATATCATACCCGATATTAAGAGAGTGACTATTGTTTATCTTAGACGCAAAGCTCTGCAGCTGACTTACTTGCATATGCAATAGTGAATTATGACTGCTGAAATTCTAAGTCAAATTTGAGTATTTAAACTGACCCTCTTTACATACCCAATTGTATTGCTAGGAATGAATAGGATAGTTCTCTCTAATGGAAACAAAGAGAACAGAAAAGACAGAGTCTTTAAATAGTGAGATGTATTACTAGTACTTGCAGTGGCTGGGTTTAACATAAATACCACAGGTGATATTCAGGTGATATTCCTCAAAGAGTAAAATTAAACCAAATCAGGAAGTCAGGCAAGCCAGATCTGTACCAAAATACAGAAAGCAAATCAAACACGGTAATGGGTAACAGAAACCCACTGTGGTGGAACCGACCTTATATATACCGATATATGGCATTTGAAAACACTATTTGTGCCCTGTGACAAAACTGGAGATTGTGCACAAATATAATATATTTGTTATGATTCCCTTTGTTTGTTGCACTGTTCCCCATGTGTTTCATCTGTTGGTTCGGCTGGATAGACTACCAGACAAACTGTGGAGTTACTGGGTGGCCACCATTTCATGTATCAGAGGCACATGGTGAGAACAATGGATGGCGGCCATTTTAACTCACAGACACTGTTTTGACTTTTCTACACAGTGCCATCTCGTCGATATTTGGTGCACAAAGACATCGTTCAGTAGTTTTAAACTACAGAACAGGGGACACATTTAACAGTAATTATTTTTCATATAGCCTGTATATGTTCTGCGGAATCTGCATTAAAACGTATCTTCCAAACTACTAAACAGATCTGGGTGAATTTGGATATGTGGTTCACCCAGATCCCCCGGTTCCGAGGATGTATTTTATGGGGTTATTGCATGTTTTGGGGTCCCTTTGATATGTTTTATTATACTGTATTTTCCTGCCTGTAATAATTAAGTTAGTCTATTGTGTTGAGATAATTGTATCACAGGCAGAGAGGAGGATTTCTGATGTAATGAATGGAAGTGTTAGCTGTGTTGTAATGTGTTGATTGGTTGTTCTTGAAAACCCTGTGGGCAGTACTATGTTTGTAGAATGTGAATAAAAGAGGCTGTATGTGCCAGTACAGTCAGTTCTACTTCACCCTCAATTTGGAGTGCCGTCTCTTATTGGGGGAATCTGCTAGAAAGGGATTGCTATGCTTGTCATACTCCCTTGCTAAATCACTACTAAGCTCTTGTAAGAGCTTGTTCCTGTCCTGCTCTCTGAAGGAGTCCACGGTGGTTATGGTGTCGGCTGGAGTGCTTGGAGCCCTCAGGAAGCGCTAGGAGCATCCTTCAACGGAGGTAACCAGTCTGGGTGCCAGGTGATCCGTTACACCCACTTTAACCCAATCAACAGGGAAGGCGTATTCCAGATTACCCACCTTCACATAGAAAAGCAGGTGATGTTTATTCCTTATTTATACACCTTGATCACTGGGCTTCTTATCTATCAGTTCTAAATTCAGATAAAAGGTTGATGAAGCCCCCCCAGTGTGTTGAGAATGGAAAAAAAAATAAACAAAAAAAAAACAATACTGTAAGCTTGTTGTAATGATGGAAAACAGGGGATAATCAAGGAATATTTTCAAGCAATAAGATGAAAGTGGATTTGGACACCAACTGGGTCAGAGACGCAAAGGGGAAAAAACATCTATTGCTATAAGCAGGTGTCTAGTTCTAATTATATTATTTTTATAACCTTGTCTTTTGAAATGTGTCTGTTCTATATATATCTATATAAATAAAGAACAGACACATTTCAAAAGACAAGGTCATAAAAATAATCAGTGAGTGGCAGATGATGTAATTACTGCACTGTGTGAATAAGCAGTAATGAGGATGAGCAGTCCATTCATTATAGTATAATTAATATTTTTTGTATTATATATTATTGAATGTATATTATGTATATGTGTGTGATTACAGGTTTAATTATAGGTCTATGTTTAAATAGTCAACAGAAGTTGCAAAGAGGTCAGTGCGAGGCCTTCTTTGATCCTTGACCTCGGCTTGTCATATCGTATTCCGTCTCTCTGTTATCCTTGATCTCGTTTTGTACTCTGACTATTCTATCTCTTTGCGTAGCCAGGCCTTTCTAAATACCGGTATTGCAATTCTGTGTGTCTGTGACCTGTCTGCGTGTTTAGGTTCCCCTGATAACCGTGACAAGATGTTAGCAAAAACTAGAAGAAAACTCTGATGGAACTTTTAGTTCTAGACATTTTACTTAGACTAAGGAAAGAAGAAAACACTATGTAAGAGAGGATGAGGGGTGGATTATCTTTTAGGAGGGTAGAGTGAATATGTTTGAGAAGGATGGTACTTGCATGTTTGTACTCTTTGAGGAGCTTTGGATTGGATGAAAAAGAAGAGTCAGCATGACGTCGCTGGAGGTATACCGTGCAGCTAATGGCACTCGATCTCAGTGCTGGGAAAAAGGTGAGTAAAACTTTTTTTTCATATTTAGATTTGGGGTTGGGGACACCTTAAACAAAAGGCAGAGAAGAATACTATACCATGTTAGGTGCAGATTTGTATTTCTAAAGCTATAGTGTTCATTTAATGACACCTTAACCACTGCAATAACCTGTAATAGTAATGGCATGTCAAATGTGCCTAATAGCAACTGATGTGCTCTTCACATTCCAGGGAGAGATGTGAAATGAGAACTAAGCACTTTCCAATGCACATGTGTCGTATTTGACAAAAGGTAGCACTCAGCGGGAAAAAAAGGAAATGAATAAATCCATATTAAATATTAAACTATACTATTTGAATTTAAGCTGTCTTTTTATATTCAGCTGCTTCCTCTCAAAAACAGGTATTGGATTAGTGTTGTTTATCGCTGCTGGAAATTGTCAGGTCCATGTAAGCATTCTCTTCTGATGTTGGAAAATATTTCTTGCATTACTTATCTTTAATTTCACAGACAAATTCTTGAGACTTATAAAATATATGTACAGGTTGCGCCAAAATAAAAAGTCCAATATATGATCAGATGCTTGGAGTATTCTATACTTGTAAATTGTCCAGGCTTCTGCTGGTGGCAGGTATATGAAATAAAGAAGAAAGATAGCTGGTAATGGTGCAGAGTATCTAGTACCAAGTGCAGAACAAACAACAAAGAGGTCTAAGATGTAGCGCTCACATTTAGTAGAGCTATAAAAGCAGCTCTGAGTACAACAGCTTGCATCGGTACAATCCTCACTGATTGATATATTGTTCTAGGAGTCAGTCGCTCAGCATGTAGGTGGTTATATACAAAGATGTAAAAGGCAAAAATAGTGCTCTCTGTAAAGTTGTACACTAATAATTATAAAGGTAAAAATAAACTACTCACATTTGATGGAGCAATATACACTTGCTCAGGTATTAACGCTTGGGTGGTACAATCCCCACCAGGGATATAATGTAGAGACACTCCTCCAAAGGGTAGTTCTTCCCAGAATACAGGTACCAGGTAGGCAATGGTGGTATAGATGTGCCAGGAACAGTAAAAGATATAAAAATAACTTAAACAAACTAAAAAACTTAAAAGCATAAAAATATAATAAATGGTCAGACACATAAATTGAGTGAATGCTGTTTGCCTTAAATGCCTAAAAATAACTAGTATAAAATGTTATTTTATATTGTTATATTATACTAGTTATTAATAATGTATGCTAATATTGTGTAATTTAGCAATTAGTAGCATTTTTAATTGCTTATGAATTTAAACTAAAAATGGATAACCCTTTATATTTATTCTGCTATACAACTATCACAGCAACATACTTTGTTAAATCATGCCTTACAATATATATTAATATCAAGAGCAGTTAATAGTAAACCTTATCCCTTCAGAAGGGCACAGGATATCTGTTTGCCAGTAAGAATAATAATAATAATAATAGTATATTAAATCACGTTAGAAAGAGTCCACACTGGATTGTGAAATCAGTTATTGAGCAGGTTATGTTCCAAGAGGAATTACCTCCACTCTGCTTGTCTAAATAAGCTAAAGAAGCCCTTCAGGATATATACATTAACAGGGTTATTCACCAATGTGAGAATTCAAGGTGAATATAAGTGAATTTCAAATTTAAGGTCAAAACAGATAAACCGGAAAAATTCACAGTTACCTCCAAGTCATGCTATTCTGGCCTTAAATTTGAAATTCAGTTTAAATTTACCTTGAATTCTCACTTTAGAAAATAACCATGTAAGAAGCAAAATAGGTGAGATTATAATGGGGTTAAACAGAATGTATAATTCAGAGAGAGTACTTTTTTTTTCTACCACAAGATGGCGATCACATCTGCCACCTTGTCTCATTATGTTGGTTTATTCTTCTAGAACCATGGATTCTAGAACCATGGATTCTGGTTAACCACAGTCTGGCATTTTTGTTGCTTATTGTTCCTTATACTTCTATTGATGCCTGGAAATGTAATCTTGAAAAATGGGGTGTAAAAAATGATTCCCCTTAAGAGTTTACATCAACCAATATGCAAACTGGTATGAGTGCAGAAGCACCTAGAATGCAGAAAATGCTTCTTATGAAACAATCATTTGTACATGCTTGGATAGTGTGATCGCACTTTTATGATGAAAATATTGAATATAACCACATAGTCCCATAATTTGTTATTAGGTGATTTTTACGCTCTAAGTTGTAATCTATTATTTTATAATTATCAACATACTAAAGGCTACATACTAAAGGCTACATTCAATGATGAGCAGGCAATGTCAGCTTAATCACAATCACATTTAACATAAAAATGACCCTATACCTTATGTTAAGCAGACAATCAATCCAAAGAAATACAAATAAAATTCAACAGCCAAAATTAATTGTTAAATAACTGAAAATACTTTTATTCCATTTTTTTGTTTTTCACTGGACACAATTTTAAACTTTTTAAAAACCCAGAAAATGTTTTGCCCATAAGAAGAACAGATAGTACAAAACATTCTCTGTAGTTGATAATGTTGGAAAGCAAAGTGACAAAAATTCTTCCTGGTTGATCAATCAATGCAACTAAAAGAAAGAATAGCCCAGTTACAAGTTGCAAAATCTATAATACAAACAAATACTAGAGTAATAGTAAACTATTCCCCAACTGTCTACTTTGCTACTCCACTGTCCAAATACAAAAAAAATGTGACGGAGCTCCTGTACTCCGACCGAGTACCTCCGTATAGTTGCTTCCGAGCCGCTTGCAGGGACCCTGGAACGCTTCAGCCCCAGTGACCGAAGCTTGACCAGGGTCCTTCTGGAGCTTTTCCACATGACCAGGCTGCCTCTCTCCTTCCAGGCAGGTATCGTCCCCTCTGCCTCATACACTGCAACCCTGCTTCCAGGCAGGTATCCACATCCACCTTCAATGTTATTGCTCTTGTGTTTAAAAAGACACTTTTGGCTCTCAGGCCCAGTTTTCTTGCTTTATCCCAGGGCTAGAGAGATCCTACAACCAGCAAACAGGTTTGAAGACTCTGTCACTGGGATCCCTACAAATCTACAGAGGACACAAGTTCCAAAAGGAACTGACATACAAAACTTTATTTTTCTTGGGACTAGCCCATATGATTATTACAGACGGATTGCTGTGACAACTCAATAAAAATACAAACTGTCAAATCATAGCAGACAACACATGACATATTTATAAAGGGGTGGGGAAGACAATAATTAACAGAAAGTATCTCTCCTGCCTGCAGAATTAGCGATATGCAAATCTACCGAATATGCAAATTAACCAACCTTGCTATTCAAGTAGTGCATATTGCTGTTGCTACCAACAGAGGGCACTATACAGACTCCTGAGCCAAATCCACCTGGTTGGTAGCAATCCTCAGCAGCAGGGCTGCCATCAAAAATGTTGGGGCCCCTGACAAAGCACAAGGTCTGGGCATCCCCTCCTTCCTCCCCCCCGAGTCCGTCCACGCTCTACCTCAGGGACGTATTAGCCGCGAGGCAAACAAGGCATTTGCCTTGGGCGGCATTTCCAGGGGGCGGCAAAAAACGCCGCCCCCAAATGCCCAGGGCAAATGCCTTGTTAGCCTCGGGGCTAACAGACATGCTGGGCGGGCGGGCGGGCGGCGCTGGGCGGGCGGCTGGCGAGGAAGCACTTCCTCTCAGCGGTCTGCTCGGCTCCTTTGCGCGCCGCAGAGGGAGGCTGGGAGCCAGAAAATGACGTCATCAACCCGGTTCCCAGCCTCACTCTGCGGCGCGCGAGGGAGTCGAGCAGACGCTCAGAGGAAGTGCTCCCTCTCCAGCCGCCCGCCCGCCCAGCGCCCAGTAGCCAGCCCATCAGCCCAGCCGGCAGCCACTGGATCCCAGGGAGAAAGAGAAACCCCCCAGCATTCCCAAAGGTAAGGAGGCTGGGGGGCGGTTAAATAATAAAAAAAAAGTGTTAACGTGAGTGTGTCTGTGTGTGTGTGTGTGTGTCTGACTGGATCGTGACTGTGTGCGTCTGACTGCGGTGCGGGTGTGTGCGTGCGGTGGTTCGACCGTGTGTGTGACTGTGTGTCTGACTGTGTGTGTGTGTCTGACTGTGTGTGTGTCTCTGATCGGGTGTGTGTGTATTTAGAAGGTGTTAAAAAGTAAGTTAACGTGAGTGTGTTCGTGTGTGTGTGCGTGTCTGGACTGACTGTGTGTGTGACTGTGTGTGTGTGTCTGACTGTGTGTGTGTGTGTGTGTGTGTCTGGATCAGTGTGTGTGACTGTGTGTCTGACTGTGTGTGTGTAAGTTCACCGTGTGTGTGTGTGTCTGACTGTGTGTGTCTGTCTGA